CCAGGACTGAAACATGGTTGATACACTAAGCCAAACAAAACTCTGACTACTCTCTATGTTCTGCAACTTGCACTTTAAAATCATATTCATGTATGGATTTGATAATAGGGGAAACATTTGTTGTTTTCCACACTTACAATAAGACATGTTCATACACTGATAATTCTAAGAATGATATATTTATCATCTTTAATCAAAGAGGGATTATCTTTCAATTTTTTCAGCAACTATAATATCCCTATGGAAATATAACTTGGAGGGGTAAAAACAATAGTGTCTAAACTCAAAAAAGAGTTTGTGACTATTCTCATCAAAGCAACACTGGTTGGGCCTCTGGCTATTTTTACAATTCCAATATGTTAAAAGAAAACATCATAATAGATCTTATTTTAATTCCCAGAATGCCACTGCAAATCCTGCATGCCAACACAAACCTCTTTTTACTGCTTCACACCGAAAAAATACTGTAGGGACTATTAGGGGCACTGAAGATCAAGCTCAGATTACAATACTAAAGGACATACAGTGGGGGAAAAAAGTATTTAGTCAGCCACCAATTGTGCAAGTTCTCCCACTTCAAAAGATGAGAGAGGCCTGTAATTTTCATCATAGGTACACGTCAACTATGACAGACAAATTGAGAAAAAAAATTCCAGAAAATCACATTGTAGGATTTTTAATGAATTTATTTGCAAATTATGGTGGAAAATAAGTATTTGGTCACCTACAAACAAGCAAGATTTCTGGCTCTCACAGACCTGTAACTTCTTCTTTAAGAGGCTCCTCTGTCCTCCACTCGTTACCTATATTAATGGCACCTGTTTGAACTTGTTATCAGTATAAAAGACACCTGTCCACAACCTCAAACAGTCACACTCCAAACTCCACTATGGCCAAGACCAAAGAGCTGTCAAAGGACACCAGAAACAAAATTGTAGACCTGCACCAGGCTGGGAAGACTGAATCTGCAATAGGTAAGCAGCTTGGTTTGAAGAAATCAACTGTGGGAGCAATTATTAGGAAATGGAAGACATACAAGACCACTGATAATCTCCCTCGATCTGGGGCTCCATGCAAGATCTCACCCCGTGGGGTCAAAATGATCACAAGAACGGTGAGCAAAAATCCCAGAACCACACGGGGGGACCTAGTGAATGACCTGCAGAGAGCTGGGACCAAAGTAACAAAGCCTACCATCAGTAACACACCACGCCGCCAGGGACTCAAATCCTGCAGTGCCAGACATGTCCCCCTGCTTAAGCCAGTACATGTCCAGGCCCATCTGAAGTTTGCTAGAGTGCATTTGGATGATCCAGAAGAGGATTGGGAGAATGCCATATGGTCAGATGAAACCAAAATAGAACTTTTTGGTAAAAACTCAACTCGTCGTGTTTGGAGGACAAAGAATGCTGAGTTGCATCCAAAGAACACCATACCTACTGTGAAGCATGGGGGTGGAAACATCATGCTTTGGGGCTGTTTTCTGCAAAGGGACCAGGACGACTGATCCGTGTAAAGGAAAGAATGAATGGGGCCATGTATCGTGAGATTTTGAGTGAAAACCTCCTTCCATCAGCAAGGGCATTGAAGATGAAACGTGGCTGGGTCTTTCAGCATGACAATGATCCCAAACACACCGCCCGGGCAACAAAGGAGTGGCTTCGTAAGAAGCATTTCAAGGTCCTGGAGTGGCCTAGCCAGTCTCCAGATCTCAACCCCATAGAAAATCTTTGGAGGGAGTTGAAAGTCCGTGTTGCCCAGCGACAGCCCCAAAACATCACTGCTCTAGAGGAGATCTGCATGGAGGAATGGGCCAAAATACCAGCAACAGTGTGTGAAAACCTTGTGAAGACTTACAGAAAACGTTTGACCTGTGTCATTGCCAACAAAGGGTATATAACAAAGTATTGAGAAACTTTTGTTATTGACCAAATACTTATTTTGCACCATAATTTGCAAATAAATTCATTAAAAATCCTACAATGTGATTTTCTGGATTTTGTTTTCTCATTTTGTCTGTCATAGTTGACGTGTACCTATGATGAAAATTACAGGCCTCTCTCATCTTTTTAAGTGGGAGAACTTGCACAATTGGTGGCTGACTAAATACTTTTTTCCCCACTGTAGAGGCTGTGCATACACAATAAAACTTTAATGTCAATAATTGTGTTGCTATTCTCACATAGTCCTGCTGTGATGATAAGATATGCAGTCTGTCTCTATATTTGGAATGCAATATTAAAATTAATTTACACAGTACAAGTAGACATAACTTTGCTCTGACAGTCTTGCAATGTCGGGTAAGAGTTGAGATCAATGTTGTATATATTGCAGCTGTAGTGTATACTGTATCTCTGAGAGGGAGTTATTTTAATGAAAACAAACCATTTTGGCCTATTCACAGCATGATGAAAAGTTTAAAGGATGAAAGTTCAACTGAACCCTGACCTCTAAACCATATGTCTTCCAAGATCACTATTCTGAGTCAGTGTGAATAAAAGCAGTTAGAGACAAATGTGGAGCCATTATTTTCTCTGCTTATTATTATTATGCAAGGAGCTCTCTGCTACAGCATGGTCTGGCTCAGCCCTGCAGGATCATCATAACATCTTAATACTACCTGTCACTCAAAGCCCATGGCACATTGTCCACACTGACTAACTACACTGTCTGTCTGTCTGTCTGTCTGTCTGTCTGGAGACTGTGCTTACTCGTGATTACTCTTAGAAAAATGGGGCAGAGAGTACACGTTAGTCAAGATTTGCTCCACAAATGGTAGGCGCCATCCACTATCCTATACTCTGTTATTGTGTGACTTGGGCCCAGTATTACTATCTCTAACTTCTCCAACAAAACAATAAATGAATGGCAATCAACCTATTTCAGTTGGTGTGATAACAATTAAAACAGCCAAAAGCCAAAGTGAACAGAATACGATAAAAAGCTTGGATTCATCTAGGGGCTTATCTCATAGGGTTTGGCCTGAACAATTAGCATAGGGACGTAGTTGAACTTTACAAACCAAGGCAGGTGCTGGAAGGAGAAGACAATCTTAAAAATATCCTCATAAGCATCTTGGTGAGGACAAGGAGAGACTCAAGAAAGGTCTCAGTCTGAGCCTATGTTTCTTTCAGCTTTCTGTCTAGCTTTCTACATTATGATAAGAAATACAGTATATTTGCACACTAATCACAATTAGTGATTTGGCCTACTTAATGGACTTCTATTTTGTTTTCCCAATATCAACTTACACTGTTCGGGTGCTTCACAAATGGCTCTACTTTTGGTCAATTATGGCAAATTTGTATCTGTTCAATTATGTTTAGCCTTCAATGCTATGGATAATATAAGGGATTGTCAAACAGATCAAATAATGTAGTTATTAACCTCTTAAGGATCGGACCCTTTTTTTCGATTTTCACCTAAAATGACATACCCAAATCTAACTGCCTGTAGCTCAGGACCTGAAGCAAGGATATGCATATTATTGATACCATTTGAAAGGAAACACTTTGACGTTTGTGGAAATGTGAAATTAATGTAGGAGAATATCACACATTAGATCTGGTAAAAGATAATACAAAACAATTTTTTTTTTGTTACATGATCTTTGAAATGCATGAGAAAGGCCACAATATAATATTGCAGTTTAGGCGCAATTTAGATTCTGGCCACTAGATGGAAGCAGTGTGTGCAAAGTTTCAGATTGATCAAGTGAAGCATTGCAAGTCTGCCCAAATGTATCAAGTCTGCCCAAATGTGCCGAATTGGTCAATTGATACATTTTCAAGTACATAACTATAGAGAACATACAAAAATGATATGTTAATACAAAACGTAAGGATTGTCAAACAGATCAGTTCATGTATTTATTAATATTTTTTTCTAATTTCCCAACTTAAACATTTGCTAAAAAACCTGTCATGTACTGTAGGGCCATACAGGTCCATTTTAAGTAAGCATTTCCCTGTAGATAGTTTTTTACGATTACTATTCATATATCCATCTTGAACAGTCTAAACAGCAGTGACAGTTCTCTAACATGAGAACTACACAGCTACTGTAGACTGTCAAAGGGAGCAGGGGGCCTGTTGAAATACCATCACACTTGGGTATCCCATGGAGGCTGTCTGGCTTAAAGAGTTAGCAGGGAGGCTACTTGATACATTATCTGGCAGCTCTTCCCTATCTTACGCTTCTCAGATTGGGAACAATGCCTTGAGGGGCTGGTTGACCTGAGATTTTCACCAACAGTACCTCTTCACAGACTGTACACTTGACCTGAGCAAATACAACACCTCCCAGTAGGACAACTTCAATACAAATGCTGATGGAAAGAAGCTGATGTAACCCCTGCAGACAGCTCCACGGGTAGCACTGGGCACTGGCACAGTTGTCTATTGTCTAGTTTCCTGGGACAAAACGACAAAAAAAATAACATTCAACAAGATTTGAAATCAGCTCAGAATGGACAAATCTCAATACATTTTACATACTGTACTGTATGGTCCACAGCTAACATGCTGTTTCTAAGCTGTTTATAAAATACACTAATGCAACTGTATAATAATGTGCAAACTCCATAAGGGTAAATGCTAATTTTTCTCACAGTACCTCTCCATCTTCTCGGGATAGTGTCCTTCTCAAACAGCAGCACTTTAGAAATCGGAACCTACGTTTTGAGGGGGCTGCTCTTTCCTCCCCATTAAATCCCATATATAGTCATAACAATGGTCAAACGTCTGAGAGCAGCGAATCACCGGAGCAGATCCATAAAAAAAAAGATAGGGCAAGGGGTAGGCACCCCCGAGATGCCGTTTCCAAAAAAGTATTGGATGTCCAAAGGAATTCACTCTCCCCCCTTGAAAGTACTTATTTGACAGGGCACAGTCAGAAAGAGCTTGCACTCCAACGCAACGTTCAGTAAGGCACAGACGCTCAGTCTCTCTCCTCCGCTCTCTTTTGGAACATTTGGTGGAGCAAACAAAAAATAAGCAGCCATGGATGCCATCAAGAAGAAGATGCAGATGCTTAAGCTCGACAAGGAGAATGCCTTGGACAGAGCTGAGGGAGCCGAGGGAGACAAGAAGGCAGCAGAGGACAAGAGCAAACAGGTCGGCATTTTATTTGGAAAATCAAAATGATCCTAGAAAAAGCACCCGAATAGCTGTGGCTCTGTGCGCCACTGTCTCTAAACATGGACCACCTCTACAATGTGGATTTATCACTTTTACGGATCATTCCAAATAAGGAGTATTAAAGTTATATATATGAATAACTTTTCACAACTGGTAGGCTAATTAGTGACGTGCGTATGAATTATTGAAATCATTTTGTGAATAATTATGTCCATTTCACTTATTGATGGGTGGATGGAGTTGTATTACTGTAGCCTTATTAATTATACGTGGGAAAATATTTGCGTATAGAAAACTGTAGGGTAATTATAAGTGGGAATTATAGAATAATTACTGTAATGGGGAATACTGCTGTAGTGGGGAATATGGATAGGCTATTGAGAAACATGTAGGCTATACTTTCAGCATAATTGCAATAGTATTATCACTTGTTTCAGATGTTCTATTCACCTAAATAAAATGTTGTCCTTTATGCATGTGTAGTTAGAGGATGAAATAAGTGAATTGGAAAAGAAATTGCGGATCACCGAAGATGAGAGAGATAAAGTGCTTGATGAATTCCAAGCCGCCGAGGAAAAGATGCTGAGCGCCGAGGAGGTGGCCACCAAGGTATTTTGTGTGGCTCGCATGATTTTCCCTAACTTCTCTATTCTCTCTCCCTTTCGTTTGTCTGCGCTCTTGTGCCTTGTGTGCGCTCACGCCCTCTGTTTCACGCTGATCACCCCTGTGAAACTATCCACACTTAAACACACCTCAGCTCGAGGATGACTTGGTAGCTCTGCAGAAGAAGCTGAAGGGAACAGAGGATGAGTTGGACAAGTACTCTGAGTCTCTTAAGGATGCCCAGGAGAAACTTGAGCTGGCTGAGAAGAAAGCCACCGATGTAAGTAAAGGGCACAAAATCACAATTCCTGCACACTGCTTCCCACATCTTTACTGTCTCACAGATCAAACTGTAAAATATGTAAAAATGACAGTGTAACATGAGAGGCCTTTATTCTGTCTCATCACTTGGTCTAAAGTCCATTCTCAGATAACCAAATGTAGGTAGAATACCGTGTAGCTGTGGTGCACCTGTCCAGCCCTATATGTCTATGGGCCAACTGGAAAGTAGTCTATTATGCTATATATATAATATTTAAATCACATAAACAATCATGATATCGTGCCAGATATTGTTGAACTGTCATTTTATATATTTTGTTTATGTTTGTGTTTGTGTTTGTTTGTCTGTTATCAAAGATCACAAGTCACCTAAGTCATATCAACCTAAAAAACTGTTTTCTTGTGTTTGAATGTCTCCACATTTGAGATGGCCACATATGATACCCCCAAGCTATACGCTACATCAATGTAAGACAGTAAATCAGATTATTCTCTACAGCTCCCTAAGAGGGGACATTTATGAGTGTAAACTGAATTAGTTAAAAGTGCAGTTTCCAAGAAGAGAGCAAGCTCAGCGCAGGGATAAATATAACTCACTTCTTTATATGGTCAATGGTCAAGTTAGACTGAGCTTACTTCTTTGGGCTGTTCTTGCAACAGACTACAGTAAATTAGATTTTCCTCTGAACATGTAATTTTTTGTTCCTATAATTGTTGTTTTGAGGTCAGTTTAGTTAAACCCATGGGCTACCAAGAGTGTAATTTGACTTCATGCGGGGAAACTTGAAATTAGGGACATACTCCATAAAATGGAAAACTATGCCAAATATGTGTGTCTGTAGATTCATGTGTGACACAAGGAGCTGCATCCAGGGGCAGAAGAAAAGTATAAAATACATAGGCTGGAATCCAAGGCTAAGTAAAGATTAACAAAGAAAAAACATTAGCAAAAATCAATCATGAAGAGGTAATCAAATTAAATGTGACATTCAGTTGACAATTGATTTTCATTTTTTGAAAGTGTCCATAGGGTAGCCTACATCTCAATAGATTGAAGGGACTTCCTATGCTCATCTCCTTTCCTTTATCTGCATTGATATAATATAGTTAAACTGGTGAAAGTAAATTCATGTAAGGCATTTACCATTGTGCTTTCATCTATCCTATGATTTCATATCACTGCAAATGAAGGAAAAGAGATCAGAAAAGAAACCACTTGTTGAACTCCTTGAGTAAGATTCTACAAATGGATATAGAGGGACTCCTCTTGGGGCTATTTAGGAACTACAGTCTGAAAATCTTTTCAGTCCCATGTGTACTTTATAGATAACACCAGCAGATGGTGCTATATGCCAGTGCACAGTAGCCTACCTGAGGAACGCTTATAATAACAAGGCGTGTCCTTATCATTACTGTATGTCTACCACATATACACTTTTTATTATGACCAAATGTTGTTTGACCATTATTATATTACGAAAACAACGAAATAAATATTTGTTTGTATACTTTTCAAGATATTTTCGTTTGTTGTAGCCTTGGAATTGTCTATGAAAACAAGGTTACTTCCGGTGTAATGTTCAGTTATTGCTGTGTGCGTCCACACAGACGACTCGAGTATCGCGGGCAGCCTCTCTCGTACATTTCAGGGTGTCGTTGCGTTCCATGTCCATTCCAAAGAAAGTCTTAAAAACGTAGTTTTCTTAGTAAGTTGACATAATGGCAGGTATAGCATCCTTGGAGGCGGTTAAACGGAAAATAAAAACCTTGCAACAGCAGGCTGACGGCGCCGAAGAGAGAGCTGAAAGACTACAGAGAGAATTGGGCTTGGAGAGGAAAGCCAGAGAATCAGTAAGCATGTCTTAAAATAGATGCAAAGTTGTAAAATTGCTTCAAAATGTTTATCAAGTGCAACAATTATATATTCATTTTGCAATGTTTAATGTCCGAGGGAGTTGCACAGCCTATACAAATTCATGGTGAACACGCAACACTGACATTGCGGAATATTTCCGACATCCCGTTGTGTTTGGTAGCTAAACGTGTCATGCTCATTGCTTACGATACGCCAACTCTGACAGATTACGAGCTCGAGACTAATTGGATGATTTCCTCAAGTGTAAATAGTGTTCAGCTGTGGCGGTAGAGGACTTCAGGCCTTTTTATGGATTTCAATGATATTTTGTAACCATGCTTCTTTTTGGCCATGATGTACAGATGTAACTGTTGCCACAGGCGGTTGTTCTTGTAGCATTGTTAGGCCTACATTGTTTCATGGTACTCCATCACCCCCAATATTTTCACTTCTTATGCTTGGCTACCTAATGCACACACTTAAGTACATATTGTAACCTAAAGATTACATTTGAGTAAATTATACTATTTTTGACATAATTGCAGCACAAAGTTTACTCAACTCTTTTTGAAACTCTCTTAAGCAGGTACCTCAAAAATGCTGCAACAGAGCTGAGGAACACCAATAACAGAATGTTAATTCTGTCAGCTATGTTTTACACAAGGTTTCCGTTATAAGGACAAAGAGAGTTGTCACATGTTTTAAAGAAGGGGGGGGCAGCCTCTGACCTATAGAAACAGGAAATACAGCCTATAATGCATTTGCCATTCGGAAGGTTAATTGCCCTCATCAACATGGTCACTTCAGAAGCTTCTTAAATGATTTAGGTTATTGGTAGTTTATTTAAAGGAAACACGTGTGGCTTTGGGATGCGGTTTGAAAAACCACTAGATGAACTGATAAAGTTATCTTCATTTCACTGGCTAGTTTCTATATCTCCATTCACAACATGAGATGGACTTTGATCCTGCGCACCACTCTTACAAGTGTTGGTATGTGATCAGGCCTCTGAGTGGTTAATCAGGTATAAAGACAGGGTAATGCCATTGCACATAGTCATAAACCAATGTCAGATACGGTTGCCTTTTGGTTTCCATACAAAAAATAAGTTGCCTTTAGTGCGTATAGAAACTAAAAAAGAATAGAGGAGCGGCTGTCCCTATCCATTGTTTCTGCTATCAAATGTTACGTTTTATTACCACAAAAGCATACCTGTAGCATTGTAGCTGAATTTTTCACTTCCTCCATATCAAATCTCTTATAAAAAAAGAGTTTGATGGTTCCATAACTTATTGTTAGTACTGAAGGTAAGCTAATTAGAACAGTAAAGGGAAAAACTTGCTAATAAGTCACACCACCACATGTCACCAGTCAAATAACAATAAAGACAGAGTAGCCATTTTGTGAGATGAAAGCTGAACTTAATTGAATCTTCAGTTTTGGTCCACTGGGGACTCCTTCACTGGTTGTGTGTGTGTGTGTGGCCTTTGACAGTGTAAACCTCTGTGGCACACAATGACTGCAGCCAGCTCCTTGTTAATGTCCCCTCTGGGGTCTCATAATGAGGCTAGGTATTCAGCCTGTGCCAGCCAGGAGCGTTGTTCTCATTACACACAGTGTGTGGAGTGCAGCACAGCACAGGGGAATTCTCCTGGGAAGGCCCTCTTCTCTCCCCAACAGGTGCCACTGAGGTGGAAAAGTCACCAGTGTTTTTGTTGTTGAAATTTGATTGTGTCCTTGAAAGTACTGCATATGTTTGTCTGTCTTAACCTGCATCGTGGGCAAAAATGTATTTTGACAAGTTCTTCTCTTCTCTCCTAGGCTGAGGCCGATGTCGCTTCCCTTAACAGACGTATCCAGCTGGTTGAGGAGGAGTTGGATCGTGCTCAGGAGCGTCTGGCAACTGCCCTGACCAAGCTGGAGGAGGCTGAGAAGTCTGCTGATGAGTCTGAGCGGTGTGTACTTATGGAGGACAGAGAGTTAGACTGTAGAGTAGACTGAGTTTTTCTTGCCTCTTACTGTATTTGGAGTTGTTAGGGCCTTTGGGGAAAGGGCAGTTTTAGCCTAAGGGCAGCTGTAGCCTAAGTCATGACTGGCGGTGCCACTGACCAATTTCAACAAACACACGCTGTTTCAGTCGAGACTGAGGTCCTGAATAAATGGGCCGTGACGCGAGGCTCTGTTCCCATTCCTTTGTTTGGTGTATAAACAGCCCCTCTGTGCTGCACAGCCCAAGGCCTGAACTCTATTGAGTGTAGGTCAGACCCTGTGTAGGCTAGGCCTGCCCTGTCATCCCCAGTGCTACAGCAGTGCAGTATTCTGCCCTCAGTCCAATAAGAAAGCTGTCAGGCCCAGGCCTTGACATTGAAAGGGCATATTAAAGATTCACTAGCAGCCAGTGTGGATGTGCACTGGGCGTACACTGCCCACCCAGGTTTAGTCTTGGACTCAAACTATTGATCTGAGTCATTGAGTTACAGCGCAGTGCTGCTATGAGCCTTGGGATGGGACTCTTTCTAACGTCTACTTCCTGTCTGTCCCTTCCATCCTCACAGAGGCATGAAGGTAATTGAGAACAGAGCCTCCAAGGATGAGGAGAAGATGGAGCTGCAGGAGATCCAGCTGAAGGAGGCCAAGCACATCGCTGAGGAGGCTGACCGCAAATACGAGGAGGCGAGTCTCTCAGCTGCTGCAGTTGTTGGCTGCTGTCCAGCTGTCTCTACAGCCCAGCCTCCCCACACCCTGCCTTTAACCTACACTAACACCACACAATAACATAATGGCACACACATATGATTGAGTCTACTTTGTAAAGCAAACATGGTGATTTAGTCATCTCTACCCTGACATACCCCAATTCATATAGGGTATATGTACAGTACACAGATATGTTGTGTGTGTGTGTGTGTGTATATACACAGCTATTTTTGTGTATAGAGTGTAACTCCTTGGTGTGCTGTACCTAAAGGTTGCCCGTAAGCTGGTCATCATTGAGAGTGATCTGGAGCGTTCAGAGGAGCGCGCTGAGCTTTCAGAAGGGTAAGATCTAATGCCCCCTAACGGTAACGCTGCACTTAATTAACATGCATGGATGGAGTTATTTAACATTCTACTTTAACACCGCCTGGCTCAAAGTTGTTTATTTTCAACATGTTGCTCGCACTCGTTGTTGCATGTACTATTAATTTGCGTGTGTTCCATGTTTCGAATGGCCGTTTTGTTTGCCACTAACAGACTGATTCGAAGAGAGGAGGACGAGCTAAGAGTTTTGGAACAAAGCTTAAAATCACTTACAGCTTCTGAAGCAAAGGTACTACAGACTAACAACGTATTCTGTTAGGTCTATCTTTATAGACTTTTGTACTACTTCCTCTTGTCACGTTCATTCACTCTGCTGAATGAAGCCTCTCTTTCCTCCTTGCACCTTGCTCTGCTTTGCTATATTTTCCTATGTTTGGGCATACGCTCGGGATATCATAAAACTAGAACCTTTTACACCTCTAACCTGGCAGGAACTGTGCAAGAATAACATCTTTCACATGCAGTACTAGCTAGCATTCTTAATCTGACCAAATCTGCATGCTAAAAGGCATTTATAAAAGTTTCTCTGTAGTCTACTCTCCACCTCTGTTATTATTGTCACATTCCTGCTGTGTTGAGGCACTTTGGTCTCCTTCCTGTAATTCCCCTAGTTCATATTCATTTTGTTTTATTTCTTCTCCCCTTTCCTGCTCTCCCTCTTTCCATCCTGTTTCCATTTCTCATTGGTGTCTCAATACCCCTCCATTTCGGCACACTTTTCTCTGGACCCTCTGCACCCTCTCCCCTATAACACCAGCAAATGCTCTGAGCTTGAAGAAGAGTTGAAAACTGTGACCAACAACCTGAAGTCACTGGAGGCCCAGTCTGAGAAGGTAGGTCGTCTGCTGCTGTGTTTTGGCATGCTGTCCAAATCCCAGCTCCTCCAAAGCCATGCTGGAGAAGGAACCTGAAGAACCATTTACAGCAACACTTGGTTCATTGGATACAGTATCTTGCATACAAATTGCATTGGTCTAAGATTAGTCTAACTTTGTACTAAAGATGAAAGGCAAATGGACCTTCCAGTATTTTTCTGTCAATTGAATATAAACCTATTGTGTCTTGTTAGAACTGAATGATAAATATCATTAGATGTAAGGTTTTTGTTTCATATAAATAAAGTGAGTGTTTATCTGTAGACTGGTGGGGGTGTAGCGGTTATCTGTGGGTAGATGCATGACTCCTGTTTCTGCTTTTTTTTGGTCAACAGTATTCGCATAAGGAGGACAAGTATGAGGAGGAGATGAAGGTCCTCACCGACAAGTTGAAGGAGGCAAGTTTCACAACCCCCCCCCCCCCCCCTTATCTACAGACTTTGGCCAGAGGCCAGGTTATTTAATTGCTGTCGGTACTGTAGGCCTACAATATCACTCACTGTGTGACATTTAAAGACTGTTTGATTCTTAAGCACCTGTCTCTCTACCACAGGCTGAGACTCGTGCTGAGTTTGCTGAGAGATCAGTAGCCAAGCTTGAGAAGACCATTGACGACTTGGAAGGTATTACGTTTTTGCAGTTAATTTCAAAACTGTACTTTGGTCTGTTGTTTGGAGTAGGCCTACAGTTTATAGTGTCAGTTGGTCTCATTCATGGCCATTCGGTAAGTGTCTATACTTCTTTCAAAATCTCTTCAACAAGAGGAAATCCTCTTCCCTTCTTTGCTACACCTCATTAATCTAATCTTTGCTACCTCTTATTTCCATTATTATCATTATATTTTGAGCAACACGTGCCCATTTATTGAGTCAATCTACTTTTGGGTTACAGCTGAGTGGAAATTACATTGGTAGTTGGACATTTGACAGGTCTTCCTCTTCACTCTATATTTAAGATTGTTCATAGATTGGGTTGCTTTTGCCTGTTTATCTGTAACAATGAAGTTACATTGCATCTGCTCAATGAGAATGGGCTATTAGTCACAGTAAGGGAAATGCTGCCCTACAGCTGCTGATTCCAGTAAATCATCCATCTGTTGGTTAAATAATGTCTCATGAGGCTGTCATAGTATTTAGTAGGCTGAGGAAGCAGCCATATGGTAATGGAATCTCTGACATGAGATGTTCAAGGGCCAGCTCCAGTAATATGTTCACTATTTCTTGATGATGCTGAAGAATTTGTCATGGCCTCAATCACATTTCTGTTCTATCTTCTGGTATAACGTTTTTTTCCTTTTCCACTCTGTCCATCTCTTTCCCCCTCCCTCTGGGGTCTTACTGATGACCTGGACACCCTTCACCCTCCTTCCCACACACCCCTCCATTTCTGCCCCCTCCTCCTCCCTTTTGGTGCACTTGGCCCACATCCCAATAGATGAGTTGTATGCCCAGAAACTGAAGTACAAGGCCATCAGCGAAGAGCTGGACCACGCCCTCAATGACATGACTTCCATGTAATTCTTCAACTGCACTGCCTGCTTGTGCCTCTGTCGCCTCCTCCTTGCACCTCACCTCCCCATTGTCCAGCCATCACACCCTTCTGTTCTGTCTCTGATATTCTCCATCCATCTGCTGTTTCTGTTTATACAAAATAAAGTGGTTACTGTTAGAAGGCAGCTATATATTTTTATACACAAGGTAGTCCGTCTTAAGGTCATAGTCAAAGGATAGTCTTAAGGGTGGTCCTCTGTAGCTCAGCTGGTAGAGCACGGCGCTTGTAACACTAAGGTAGTGGGTTCGATCCCCGGGATCACCCATACACACAAAAAAAATTATGCACGCATGACTGTAAGTCGCTTTGGATAAAAGCGTCTGCTAAATGGCTTATTATTATTATTATTATTATTATTATTATTATATATTGTGTCTGTAAGTACTGGCCAATTATGTGGTAAGTGTTTTAAACTCACTCAGTGGTTTCCGCTCACAAACTTGAGTGTGGTTGTGAGGATATTCTCTCCATGATAGTCACTGTAACCATTTTAGCAGTACAGTACGTGAACCTGGAGACTTGTTTTGTATGAACAGAATACAGCATGGAGGTTCTTTGTTTACTGATTTGGACTTTCATTTTGATAACTACCATATTGTATTACTTTTTACATCAAGAAAAAGTAATCTTAATTTGTTTTGAGTATTTGAAATGTACATTGTTCAACCAACAAAATGAATGTCTTAATGTCAAAATATTCAGTATATTTTGTCAACCCTTAATGCATGTGAGGCGTCTATTGAAATGCAATATATAACTGTTTGTATTTCAATGTGGACCTTCTACTGGGTCTTAAACTGTGTTTCTCCATGTAGTCAATGTGCTTTGTTTCTCTTCTGTACCTTTTCAAGTGTAGCTCACTTGTTTCTACTACTAACACAGTCTACTTCTGTGTGGAAGAAAGGCTCAATGCGTCTCCCTTCAAGTTCCTTTTAATTCTGTGATAACCACAGTTGAGGGTGAACTGCACAATCTACAATCTGATTGCTTTTGGAAAGTGGGTTTTTGTCCCATGCCCCTTTGGCATCTGAGCAAGTGCAGACTATTTGTCAAACCAAAGCTGTACGAAGAGCACCACGTATGACTGAGATGTTTAGTCAAGTGACGCTTCTCATGACTCCTCGGAAAGGTCTTCATGTGATCAGAGAAGTTTGGTTCAACCTTTGTTTTGTGTTTGAGGTGGTTGAGTAGTAGTTGCCGTACGTTGTCTGTATCCCTCCCTGACAATTACCTCAGTGTATGCTGTGGCTCCAGTAGCGCTGGTGTGTTGCGGCGCGTCTCACTCTTCCAACAACCTGTTGAACAGGTAGAGGAAAGTAGGCATAAAGAGAAGCACAGTATGTAAGATTGTCTGCCTCAGTGTTGAAATAAGTGAGTTGGAAAAAGGATGGCTAGTATGATTGACTATTGCGATGTTGATGACATGACGTCTGTAATTTGCAATATCCTTTTGTCTAAATAAATTAATAGATTTGCACTTTACCATATTTGTTTTCCATTAATAAAGCCAAAAGTCACAGGCACTAGCACTATATTAACTGCACTAACTAGCACTATAAATTCATTGTTAGCCTTTTTGTGTTCCAAGCACTTAATTAATTCACAACATGACTGCGGCGCGGAGGGTTGAATGGCCAGGCCACTCAATGATGTCTGTTCTATCACAGTCAGCGTTTCATGTACAACTGTGTGGTGTGTAATGGGGGTATGAAATGGGCATGTGGAAAATTGACATCAGGTACTGGTCCTCCATACAAGGCTGTAATTTCAGCTTTTATACTGCCTTAGTTGCACCTACAGTGAGGGGGGAAAAGTATTTGATCCCCTGCTGATTTTGTACGTTTGCCCACTGACAAAGAAATGATCAGTCTATAATTTTAATGGTAGGTTTATTTGAACAGTGAGAGACAGAATAACAACAAAAAAATCCAGAAAAACATGTCAAAAATTGATTTGCATTTTAATGAGGGAAGTAAGTATTTGACCCCCTCTCAATCAGAAAGATTTCTGGCTCCCAGGTGTCTTTTTATACAGGTAACGAGCTGAGATTAGGAGCACACTCTTAAAGGGAGTGCTCCTAATCTCAGTTTGTTACCTGTATAAAAGACACCTGTCCACAGAAGCAATCAATCAATCAGATTCCAAACTCTCCACCATGGCCAAGACCAAATAGCTCTCCAAGGATGTCAGGGACAAGATTGTAGACCTACACAAGGCTGGAATGGGCTATCGCCAAGCAGCTTGGTGAGAAGGTGTCAACAGTTGGTGCGATTATTCGCAAATGGAAGAAACACAAAAGAACTGTCAATCTCCCTCGGCCTGGGGCTCCATGCAAGATCTCACCTTGTGGAGTTGCAATGATCATGAAAACGGTGATGAATCAGCCCAGAACTACACGGGAGGATCTTGTCAATGATCTCAAGGCAGCTGGGATCATAGTCACCAATAAAACAATTGGAAACACGCTACGCTGTGAAGGACTGAAATCCTGCAGCTCCCGCAAGGTCCCCCTGCTCAAGAAAGCACATATACAGGGCCGTCTGAAGTTTGCCAATGAACATCTGAATGATTCAGAGGAGAACTGGGTGAAAGTGTTGTGGTCAGATGAGACCAAAATCGAGCTCTTTGGCATCAACTCAACTCGGACAGGGCCATGTACCGTCAAATCTTGGGTGAGAACCTCCTTCCCTCAGCCAGGGCATGGATGGGTATTCCAGCATGACAATGACCCAAAACACACGGCCAAGGCAACAAAGGAGTGGCTCAAGAAGAAGCACATTAAGGTCCTGGAGTGGCCTAGCCAGTCTCCAGACCTTAATCCCATAGAAAATCTGTGGAGGGAGCTGAAGGTTCGAGTTGCCAAACGTCAGCCTCGAAACCTTTAATAACTTGGAGAAGATCTGCAAAGAGGAGTGGAACAAAATCCCTCCTGAGATGTGTGCAAACCTGGTGGCCAACTACAAGAAATGTCTGACCTCTGTGATTGCCAACAAGGGTTTTGCCACCAAGTACTAAGTCATGTTTTGCAGAGGGGTCAAATACTTACTTCCCTCATTAAAAAGCTAATCAATTTTTGACATGTTTTTCTGGATTTTTTTGTTATTCTGTCTCTCACTGTTCAAATAAACCTACCATTAAAATTATAGACTGATCATGTTTTTGTCAGTGGGCAAACGTACAAAATCAGCAGGGGATCAAATACTTTTTCCAATCACTGTATAAGCCTTTAAGCAGGATCAGTACATGCCTTCTGGTGCTGGAAGGTATAGGCAGTGAGTAGAGCCCACTAGGCAAAAGCAGTCTTGAAATGTATTATTTGTTTGCTCAATTATCCACCCCAGAGATGTTCATATCTCCATTCACAAAGTTCAGAGGCATTCCACCCATCACTTCTGCTGTTACTGCTCCACTGTTCTGTGGAGAGTAGACTTTCTATACTATATCATTTTCAAACAAGGTAATGTATAATCAGGTATGAAGTGATCCCAAATAAAGCTTACTCTTGAGCTCTAGTCTGTTACGGCACTGATTTCCTCATTTCTTTCTCTTTCCTACCTGCTTTCCGACTGCCAAGATCACCTCTACCAGCAACTTGAGAGAAACCGCCTTCTCTCTAACGAACTAAGAGTGGCCTTGAATGAGGACTAAACATAGTGTGAATGTTTTAATCTATTTAATTCATGAGTTTATGTACAGTATTGAAATTATAATATTGTGTAAGATCGGTGTGTGTGAATATGTATGATGCTAATAATGTAGGAGAAGTGTTACTGCTGGGGAAACAAGCTAGTCACATAAATATATATCTGGGATTATCTCTCTAATCTGTATATTTACTGTAAACTCTGACATACAACCAGGTAGTATATACGGTATTGTTAATTTCCCCTGTTAAAGCATGGGGAAGGCTATGCTGTAAAAGTTGTTTACTTCCTGCATGGGTACTGCCATAGCATAGTCACAGCATTTTGTTTTTCTCTAAAACTGAAAGTGTTGCTTTTTGTAGCTAATTATGTAGCCCTAACAGTACAATATACTTTTTTTGCATGTTGTGTGACGGTAGCTTGGATTTTAATATTTTGTTTTATTTGGTGTCTAACAGAGAAACTGGCACATGCTAAAGAAGAGAACCTTGATATGCACCAGATGCTGGACCAGACTCTAATGGAACTAAATAACATGTGAAAGCCTGGTTTACCTACTATGGTTTGGGCTTTTTGTATTTGCACCTTGCTTGCCATGAGCCCTCATTCCATTCCATGCCCATGGTGAGGAACACGTAACCAGATGCTTTTCCTTTTGCACCATCCTGCTTTAAGTGGAACTCAACGAGGGAGCAGAACTAAGGGAAAGGTACAACATTTCCTTAATGAAGCCCACAATGAGAAACACTTATTTTTGCCAGCTGATTTATAATGATGTCAGCATTTTGTAATCATTGACATTAGTTATCAGGTGAAATGACGTGTCATTTGCTACAAAGGTTGTTTTTGGGTCATTCCACCAATTCAGTGCCTTTTGAGATGTGTAACTTGGTGGGGGGAAAAACGTTTAATTTCACCAAATTTTAACATTCTGTCATAAAGAACATATGTTCAACTTAATGAAAAATATGTTTTCTCATCTTAAGGTTAAATAAATAAAAATGACAAAGTGCCATATAAAGTAACAGGGTTGACAATTTCATCGTAAATCAGCCATAAATTCCCTTGTGACGGGGAATGGAAGGTTGTTGTGTGCAACAGGGAGCGGCAATTGAATGCAAGCTTCACAAATAAAATGAAATTCTTCAAATATTTGTAGCCCGTCTATCTATTATTAGCAGGGTTGAAGTGTTCTGCTTGACCCACTGTTTTCCACCACAAAACACCAGGAAATTGCCAAGAGTAGAACCAGCTCACTTGCTTATACACTATGATTTGACTATTAGATGTTCAATGTTTTTTATTTTTGTATTTTTTAAGGA